TCATCAAGGAGATACAAATCAAAACCACACTGAGATACCACCTAACTCCAGTCAGAATGGCAATTATCAATAACTCAAAAAATAACAGTTGCTGGAGAGGGTGTGGTGAAAAGGGAAGACTTCTATACTGTTGGTGAGAGTGCAAACTAGTGCAACCTCTGTGGAAAACAGTGTGGCGATTCCTAAAAGCTCTAAATATAGACCTCTCATATGACCCCGTAATCCCCCTACTGGGAATATACCCTGAAGAACTCAAATCACTCTATAAAAAAGATACCTGCACACGTATGTTTACTGCCGCATTGCTCACAATAGCAAGAACCTGGAACCAACCATGCTGTCCATCAAAAGAGAACTGGATTTAAAAAATGTGGTACATATACACGATGGACAAATAAAAAACACAATCCCATTCACAATAGCCACACAAAAAAAATGAAATACCTTGGCATCTTCCTAACCAGAGATGTGAAAGACCTTTACAATGAAAACTACAAAACACTGCTCAAAGAAATCAAGGATGACACAAACAGGTGAAAAAATATCCCATGCTCAAGGATTGGAAGAATCAACATTATCAAGATGTCCATTCTACCTAAGGCAATCTACCTAAGGCAGTCATGAAAAAGAACAAAATCTTGAATTTCACAGCAACCTGGACGGAACTAGACAGAGTCTATAATACTGAGCGATCTCTCACAGAAACAAAGATCTGAGTATCACATGTTCTCACTCATATAGTGGACCTTGAACATCTAACATAATACTATAAGAAAAGGATTGACAGTGGGGGGAACTATGGGGGGGAGGAGGTGGGATTAACGGTAGTCAATATCTGTCTGGGGACAGGGAGACATCCCTTATCAACAAGGGTGCCTGAACAATGCATATTTCATACCTAACCCTTAACTGTACCCCACAATATTAAAATTAAAAATTTTGATTTAAACAACAACAAAAAAGTGGGCAAAAGACATCAACAGACATTTCTCAAAAGAAGATATATGAGCAACCAACAGTTACATGAAAAAAAAACAGCCTCACTAATCATCGTCAGAGAAATGCAAATCAAAATCACACCATGATATAACCTAACTCCAGTAAGGATGGTCATCATTAATAAATCAAAAAACAACAGATGCTGGAATGGGAGCAGAGAAAAGGGAACACTTTTACATCATTGGTAGTAGTGCAAAATTTTTCAGCCTCTACATAATACAGTGTGGTGATTCCTAAATAACTAGAAAGTGACTTTCCATATGATCTAGCAATCCCCCTTCTGGAACATACCCAGAGGAATATATTTGCTCCATTAAAAAAACAAGACCCAGCTGGGCTTGGTGGCTCAACCTGTAATCCCGCGCCTTTGGTAGGCTGAGGTGAGTGGATTGACTGAGCCCGCGGGTTCGAGACCTGCCTGGGCAGCGAGACCTCATCACTACAATAAATCAAAAAAAACAGCTGGCGTGGTAGTGCATGCCTGTAATTCCGGCTTCTTGGAAGGCTGACACAGAAGGATTGCCGGAGCCCAGCAGGTCGAGGCTGCGGTGGCCGGGAGTGGCCACTGCACTCCAGTCTGGGCGACATAGTGAGACTCCAACTCAAAAAAATAAATAAATAAAATAAAATACAAAAACAAGACCTGCCTGGGCAACTTGACGAGACCTCACCTCTACAATAAATCAAAAATTAGCCAGGCGTGGTAGCGCACGCCTGTAGTTCCAGGTACTCGGAAGGCTGAGGTGGAAGCATCGCCAGAGCCCAGCAGGTAAAGGCTGCAGTGGCCGGGAGCAGCCAATGCACTCCAGTCTGAGTGACAGAGTGAGACTCCAACTCCAAAAAAAACCCAAAAAACAAAAAAACACCTGCACATGCATGTTTACAGCCACACTATTCACAATGGCAAAAACACAGAACCAACATGACTGCCCATCAAAGGTGGACTGGATAAAGAAAATGTGGCACATATACACAATGGAGTATTATGCAGCCAAAAAGAAGGACAAGCCTATGGACTTCACAATAAATTGGATGGAATTGGAGACCATCATACTTATCCCAGAAACAAAGAACTGAATACCACATGGTCTCACCCATAAGTGGAACCTGACCATTAATCACAATAGCATAAGAGAGGGATTGGCAATAGCAGAACACTGCCAGGGTAGTGGTGGAATGTTACAACACAAAGCGTACCTGATCCCAAACTAGAAGTGAGGACTAGTGACCAGTTGAAGGTCCAGACTTCACCTGTATATAGACTATGTGCCTAATCCTGACTTGTACCCCAAATCTCTATAATAAAATAAAGTTATATTAAAAAAGAATTACTTTAACTATAAAAACTTGTGAATGAATACACAATATAAAAAGATGTAAATGTGATATCAATAACAAAATGTGTGGGAGACAAGTAAAAGTGTACAGTTTTATGTGCAAGTGAAGCTAAGTTGTTATAACCTTAAGAAATGTATTATGTAAACACCTCTTATCAACAGGGTGCCTGAATGAAACGTATTTGTATACCTAACCCTTAACTGTACCCCACAACATCATAATAAAAAATATTGACTATAAAAAAAATGTATTATGTAAGCCCAATGGTAACTGCAAATAAAATACATACAGAGAGTACACAAAAGAAAAAGAAAAAAGACTTCAATCCTCTCAGTGCAAGACATTAACAAGTTGCAATGGAAGAGAGCAAGAGAGGAGAAGATAGAAATGAGAACTGTAGACAAGAAAACATCAAAAAGGTAATAGTAAGTCCTCTATCAATAATTACTTTAAACATAACTGGATTTAAGCCTCCCCAATCTAAAAACACAGAGTGGCTGAATGGATAAAAAAGCAAGACCAAACTATAACCTGTTTACAAGATACTCACTTTAGATTTAAGGACATATATAGTCAGAATGGGAAGGAATGGAAAAGGATATTCCATGCAAATAGTAACCAAAAGACAGCAGGGATAGTTACATTTATATCAGACAAAATAGACTTTAAGTCAGAAACTGTCACAGAGACATATAAAATCATTATATAATGATAAAAGGGTCAACTCAATAGGAAGATATAAAATTATAAATATATATGCACCCAACATCAGGGTACCTAAATTTCTAAAGCAAAAACTGACATATCTGAAGGGAGAATAGACACTAATACAATAGAAGAAGACTTCAATACCCTACTTTCAATAATGAATAGGACACCCAGACAGAAATCAATAAAGAAACAAAGGACTTGAACAGCACTACAGATCAAAAGGATGTAAAAGACATATACAGAACATTCTAGCCAACAGTACCAGAACACACATTCTTCTCAAGTACACAAAGATCATTCTCAAGAACAGATTATATGTTAGGTCACAAAACAAGGCTTAATAAATTTAAGAAAACTGAAAACAGACCAAGTATCCTTTCTGATCACAATGGAAAAAAAATCAGTAGTCAATAACAAAAGGAAAAACAGAAAATTCACAAATATGTGGAAATTAAACAACATATTACTGAATGACCAAAAAATCAAAAAAGAAATAAAAAAGCAAATTTTAAAATACCAAAGACAAATAAAATTGAAAACACAACATATCAAATATTATGAGACGTAGAAAAAGCAGAAATAATAAGGAAGTTACAACAATAAACACCTCCCTCAAAAAAAAAAAACCTTTAACCCTTCTTGCCCAACAAAGAAACAATCAATAAAGTGAAAAGGTAACCTACAGAATGGGAGACTATATTTGCAAACTATATATCCGATAAGGGGTTAATATCCAAAATACATAAGAAATCTCCATAACTCAATAGCGAAAAAAAAAAAAAGAGGTAAATATAATTTAAAAATGGGCAAAGGACTTAAACAGACATTTCTCTAAAGGAGACATACAAATGGCCAACAAAAAATATAGTCAACATCACTAATCATCAAGAAAATGCAAATCAAAACCACAGTGAGATATCACTTCACACCTATTACGAGGACTATTACAAAAAAAAAAATCAGTGTTGGAGAAGATGTGGAGAAATTGGAACCCGGGCATACTGATGGTAGGAATACAAATGGTGCATGGAAAACAGCATGAAGATTCTAAAAATTTTAAAGCAGAATTACCATATGATCCAGCAATCCTACTTCTGAGTATATTTCAAGTCATAAGAATTGATATCAAGATCTCAAAGAGATAATCTGTGCTTCCATGTTCACTGCAGCATTATTCACAACACCCAAGACATGGAATAAACTTAAATGTCTATTAACAGAAGAATGGATAAGAAAGTGTGCTATATACATCAATGGAATATTATTCAGTCTTCAAAAGATGGAAATCCTACCATATGCTACATAGTATTATGCTAAGAGAAATAAGCTAGTCACAGAAGGACACATACTGCATGACTCCACTTATATGAGGTACCAAAGAAGTCAAAGTTATAAAAAAAAGAGTATAATGTTGGTTGTTGGTTGTCAGGGGTGAGGGACGAAGGCAGGAGAAAATGGGGAAATGCTCAACAGGTATGAAGTACAGTCATGCAAGGTGGTAAGTTCTAGAGATCCACTGGACAACGCTATGTCTATAGTTAACCATACAGCACTGCACACTTAAACATTTATTAAATGCTCTTACCACAATTTTAAAAACCAACAACAAAAATGCTTACGATATGCTTCTCAATTTTTCAATAAAGTTAAAAAAAACTGAACTATGAACTTAGGAGCTGAGAAGATAAGCTGGGAGAGTTTGAAATGAAAACTCCTAGAATGAATTAACCAGTATACTATAAAGAACAAAGAAACAAGCAAGACAAAGAGCAGCAAAGATGAAATAAAATTCTGTTAAACTTTATAAAAGAGTAAGAACACTATGTTTTATTTACTGACATGGATAATGGCTATAGATGTGTTCTCTTGTGATAACGAATAAACTGATGATCTGTAATCTTTTTATAACTATTTTATGCAGCAATAAAACAAGAAAAAAGAATAGCACATACTCTCTGTTCTGGCATTCGTAGACATGATTGAGAGAAGAGTACACATGAAGAACAGAGACAATACTTTGCATGTTTAGGAATTCAGGTTCCTCTATTACTTTCTTCAGAAACAAGTCCATCAAACCAGGAGGGTGAAAGCCAATGTTTTCAAATAAAATGAGGAGAAAAAGAACCTTAAAAAGAGAGAGAATGAGGGGAAACTTTTTAATAATTACAATAAGATAACAGTAATTTTTTTAGATCCCAAAATATATAAACAGCAATACAATCGTCTTGATCAACAGAATACGCCCTAAGGAAGAACAAGTATCTTTCCCTCACAAAATCTGTTCCACCGATTCTTAAATCGGGTGTCAAGTTAACAATCTCTTTTTACAAGCTAAGAACAAAGGCACACAATATGTACATACATATTTCCACCTCATTTAAAAATAAATCCTTTCCTACATGCTTTCCACACAACCTATCTGAAAATTACTTTCGAACATACCTTTTCTGAAGTCTTGAACTCCTCCCACTCCCAAACCTTTTATTACTTCTCCATTAACAGTTTCCATAGTAAACTCAATCTTTATCTTACTTCCCAAAGTAAATTCAACCTAGTGATCTAACATATTCACCACCTACTTCATTGCAAAAATAAGTTTTTACCAACTGCTTCATTTAAATGTATCTATTATTAACAAAGCCCCTGGATTTAAAGGCTTTTACTCTGGATGAAACAAGGAACATAATCATTCAGTGATGATATTTTCTTCTGCAAAAACCATAAGCCTGCTGCATTATCCATCTTAATTATTCAAAATCAAACAAGAAAAATATAAACACAGAAATAATGCTACATATTTAACCAAAGTACCATACGGCCTTTGAAAACCATATAAAAGAGCAGACTTTGGAAAATGTAATTTTTGTTTCAGATAAAATATGATCCAGGCTGAATAGTATACAGATGACCCTTGACTTACGATGGGGTTGCAGGCTGAGAAACCCAACAGAAAATTAAAATATTTTAAGTCAAAATGCACTCAATGCACCTAACCTACTGAACATCAGAGCTGAGCCTAGCCTGCCTTACATGGCTCAGAATACCCACATCGGTCCACAACTGGGCAACAACATCTAACACAAAGCTTACATTATAATAAAGCGCTAAAAATCTCACATAAGTTATTGAACACAGTACACTGTAGAGCACAACATCAGTTGTTTACTGGGAGCTATGGCTCTCAGTCTCTGCTCAGCACCACAAAAGAACATCATACACATATTGCTAACCCAGAAAAGGATCAAAATTCAAGTATGATTTCTATGGAATATTTATCCTTTCACACCATGGAAAAGTCAGAAAATCCTAAATCAAATGGACTATATAGGCAAGTAGCTCCCAGACAGAAATAAGAAGCTAATTTTAAAATAAGGATCTTATTTTACAGAGGTCAGTTTAGCACTGGAATATTCTGGCATCTTAACTGTTATAAGGTAAAAGGGAAACACTTAAAACACTAATGAAGTAGTATGCTTTTTGTTCCGAGGCTTATTCTACCTGTTAACATACCTGTTTCAACTTCCAGATGTCAAAAGTTGTAGCCACATAATCTGCTATGCCCTTGAAGAGTGCTACATTACGGTACTGGAGCTCTTTGCAGGACTGCAATATGCTGACCAATATTTTAAAAGGACACCCATGGATATTATCTTTAAGAATGAGAAAAATAAACAAAAATTACCAGATCATTTTAATGTAAGATTCAAGATGCTTCATACTATTTTTTCATGTAAGATTAAAGTTTTTCAAACAAACAAAATAAATACAGTCAAAAACAATAGGGCAGATGCTACAAGTCACAAATGGAAAACTCCTTACCTATGACCACCCTGCTACATTCATTCAGGAGTATCACAGAGCGATGATTCATGGCAGCTAGCACCCCAAACATGTGCTGGCTATTCAAAACTGAAAATCTGTCTAATTTCCTTAAAGCTTTCATCTAGAGAAGAACAAACTTAATTTATTATTTGTGGCAAAATAAACTAAACCTTTATTTTATAATAAAAAAGGTGAAGTTGAGGGAAAATGACTCAAACAGAAAAACATATATTTATATATATATAGATAAATATAAGTCTATGTCTATTAATTCATTTTAGCAAAACTAAAGCCAAACACACAGCAACATCGTCCGAAAACATTGACTTCAAAGTGATAGCAGGTCACAAGAATTAATTTTTTAAAATCTCATCCGCTAGAGAAAATTCAGATGTTTACCTCCAGCTTCTTTTTAAGAGCAACTGGTGCGTCTTTTCCAATGCATTTCATCACAGCTTGTAATGTGAAGACACGGTCTATTTTCCATATTTGCTGATCAACTAGTATGCTGTCATCAAACAATAAATATTACAATCCTAGAACTGTCAAGAGAAATTTTAAAATTTCACTTGGTCCAGCTCCGATTTCTTATAGGCAAGGAATATCTACATGCCCAAGAAAGTGTAAGCCAGCAAAAGATCCAAAACCAGTCTATTCCCTCTCGCTATGCTTTCTTCATTAATGAATGAATCACATCAGGAGATTACAGTTAAGACATTCTACGCAGCCAATGAAAAGCAGAACTAAGTGTTCTTTTCACTCATCTATGACATTTGATCACTTTTATAAATGCCTTTTCTAGCAGGGCCAGGGTCCCGCAACTCTCATACAGTACTCAAATAACTATTCTGAGTTAGATATACAAATCTGTTCTCCCAGCCCACATCAATAATAGATTGTAAGATTAATTTAGGCCAGGCTCGGTGGCTCAGCCTGTAATTCCAGCACTTTGGGAGACCAAGGTGAGTGGACTGCTTGAGCCCACATGTTCAAGACCAGCCTGGGCAGCTTGGGAAGACCTCATCCCTACAATAAATAAAAAAATTGGCTGGGCACAGTAGCATGCACCTGTAGTTCCAGCAACTTGGAAGGCTGAGGCAGAAGGATCACCGGAGCCCAGCAAGTCAACGCTGGGGTACCCATGAGTGTGCCACTGCACTCCAGCCTGGGTGACAGAGTGAGACTCCAACTCAAAAAAAAAGGATAAATTAATATAGACTTCATTGTTACTCATATCTTTATGGTAGACCCTAAAAGAAGTATTATTTCAAGCTTTATCTCAACCAGAGTCAGGATTTTAACCTTTATAGGACATTAAAGACTGTAACTGCCAACAAAGCTTCCCAGCTTCTCCCCAAAAAAGCAGATTAGTTTTCATCTCAACTTTTATTCCAGATCTAAGAACAACGAAAGCCAGAAGAAGAAAGCGTTAAGAGAGCCCTCACCTCAATCCTGCTCGAAGAACATGCACGTTCTTGCATGGCTCCATGGCGTCTATAAGAGTTGACAAAACCGAAAGACATTTCTCATCACACTCATTGATCCGTTCCTATTGAAATATAATAACAACAACAAAAAAAAGAAATATAATAACAAGACACTACGGTTGATGAGCTCATAGTAGACTACCTCACCCAAGCAAAACCACTGAATTGATGCATTGAGTAAATTACGGCTGAAGTTATCACATCAAGAACTCCTGTAATCAGCCCACAATGAACAGCCTCTTTTGAAAATAAGATGTTATACTTAAGTGAGTTTTCCAACTGATATATATCCTTTTATGCATCAACACTTTTTTACCTTCACCATTCTCACTGAAAAGTCATTGACATTGATTATATTCTACTGCTTCTGAAACAACTTTTAGCAAACATTATTTTTACCTCTTCTTAGAACGCAAGGTCATGAATATGAAACAGCTCAAGTGCCAAGAGTTACTGTGGTACACAAGGCAACCTGCCCATCCCTAAAGATCCTTAGACAGCTGTGCCCTTACAATTTCCCTCTGTACTTTCCCGGGTATCAAGCTGAAGCCTCAGTTGTGAATCTGCGGATTCACATCTCCACCACCACTATCTAAGCTCAAGGGGAGCCCAGGATCCACAGATTCTTCTTCCAGTTCTCTCTACTTAGAGCACTAATTGAGATTTCAGAAGTAGCAGTAGGCACAATTTGGAAAGTGAATAAGAATAACACAGTTTACCTACAGTAGCTATGATTTAATCACAATTAGTCTATGAACCTCACAAGAGTAAAGACCACATCCGAGGAACTCAGCCTGGGATAGTTATGCTCTTTTGCTAAAATCACATGACTAACCAGTCACAAAGTCTCAAGTCAGAACCAGATAATGATAAGAAGTGGGTAAGTCTGAAAGAAAAAAAAAAGCTTCCTACTCATGGGAGGGTTTCCTTAACAATTTACAGTACTCTTCAACATCTGCTGTGAAAACAAAGTCCAGAGTTTGCAGGGCAAGTTCATCAATGGTACACAGTCCTTTCTGCTCTAAGTTAAAATGTTTTCACAACATTCTAACATGTCAGTGAGACACAATCCTACACGCACACATTCTGACTCCAAAAATCCACTGCTCATGCCTCACCAACACAAGTGTCATGCTGATGTGAACACCTGTCTAAAATCTAGTATGAGCATCACTGACTAGATAAGGAGACTCATAATCACTCTTAACTATATACACATATAAGCTAATACACAGTCCCAAATAAACATGGATTATTCTGTGGTTTAAACACACACACACACACACACACACACACACACACACACAATGAAAATTAGTTCTTGGTTGAGGACATATAGAAATCACGTAATGTAAAAAAGTTAAAAACTCTCCACCTATGAACCCAATCCTTGAATCTGGAATGACAGCAAGCAGGGCACCATATTCTAGTTTTTAAGTAGAAATGGCTCCCTCCATCCAATTTCATCCTTCCTCCAATCCATTTCCCACTCCTTCAGTAATCTAAAATACAAATTCGAACACTGCTTAAAATCATTCAGTGGATTCCCACTGCCTACAGATAAATATAAATTCCTTAGCCATACATAAAAGGTTATTTAGGATTCGCTCCTGTTTATCTAGCCTTGTGTCCTGCCAGTATGCCCCTTACCCCTCCTGCTTTACCACCACTATGCGACTTCCTCCCTACCCCCTCAAACACACAACCCAATCATCCTGCACTTTAGTCTCACCAAACTACCTTCAACTCCCTGACTGTCAAACCTTTCCTCTAGGATGTCAGGGTATGCGAGATCTGCTCTGCTGGAAACATCACCCACTTCACTATCAACCTTTCATCAGCTTGGGCATCACCTCCCACTGGGTTTGAATTCCAATTCCAGAATGGACTAGGTTCCCTTCCCTCCCTTCCTATCTCTCCTTCCTTTAATTTCCCAACCTTTCTTCATTTTAGCTTTGTCACTACTGCTCAATCCTGGAGTAGGTAAATGCGGCAGGCTTTCATAAGCTTCCACACTAAAAGGAAGACTCAGCTAACTTAAGGTCTCTAAATCACACAACATGCATGCAGAAATAGAAATAAATATAAAGGTAACTCCCACTCCATTTGATGGTCTCTTTTAAAAAGGCTATATATCTATTTTCTCTCATCCTTTCAAGTTCTCCTACCCAAATGGAAGCACGTTTAAACCTCCTTTCTTCTCACCTGGATCACCCTCAGTAGTGTCTGCACCAGGAGAGTGTTCTGAGGGATTCCAAGCTTCACTATGGCATGAAGACTGAACAATAGGTGGTTATAGCGCATGATCTTGGCCTCTCTCATCATATGCTCACAGAGTTGGTGAAACGCAGGGTGGCTAAACATCAGGTGCTTTTCAAAGCGCATCTGGTCTTCAGACATTCTTTTGGCAATTGTCCACATGGCTGTGAAATAGTTACTACTAGGAAATGTAGGTGCTTTTGAAAACATGTCCAACACATCACTCAGGGAACTACACTCCTGAGACAATTTTCTACTATCAGTGGGGGTGGGTTTTGTTTCCTTGGTGAGAACATCTTCACTGAAGACTTCATGATGAAAGTTTACTTTCTTCAATCCATTACCAGAACTACCAACAGAGACAAGAGGAGGTTTTGAGTCCAAGGATAGTCTCCTAGGACCACATAGTCTATCCACCATGAGGACTGCTGTAGTGCCTACACCCTCAGTTAGAAAGCCATCATTCCCTGACTTAAAAACGCACATACCCTGAAGGAGATGTCTGACAGATGATCGCATTCTGTCATCAAAACCACTTAACGGAAGGTTTCTTAGGTTCCAGTTTGGATGAACAATTTTTGGTCTGCAAAATCCCAAAGGACACAGTCTCACAGTTTTGCCTGTTGGAACTAGAGTACTGAATTGTCTGAGGTTCCACAGAAAGGAGCCTGCTTTGTTACTCATTTTGCTTTCTGCTGTCACCTTCGATGACTCACAGTCGTATGAATCAAATGCTACTTCTACTGGAGAAAAGAACGCATACTGCTGTACTCCTGTACGGGAAGGGGCAACAGAAAAACAAGTAAAAGCACATTTATTTACATGAAATGCACCAAACAGAGGAGAAAATGGGAACCCATGGGGCCATTAAAGATTTGTGTTAAACCCGCAAAACTCTGTCCCCAGCTCGGGTTCCCTCCACTTCTATACACTGTACAGTGTCCAAAAGTCCGGTTACTCCCGAAGCAGCTGGTTTATACATTAAGTTTTTTAGGAGACTCTCTGGTGGAAAGGCGTCCGGCCAGCCGCTTCTGCGGGCGGGATTTGGGGCTGTGTTGGCGTTGCATGGGGCTCCCTAGTAAACACTGACGGGCAACCCTCCACACGAGGGCTCAGCAAGGACCGACCCCGGGTTACCAGGAGAGAGGCCGGGGCGGGAGGGGGACGGCAGGGACCTGAACTGGCAAGGGCAGGCAGGTGCTCTGGGGAGGATGCGGGACCGCGTGGCCTGCGCACAAAGACGGAGTCCCGCGTCCCGGAGCCCAGAGACCCGCGGACGCCCAGACCAGCCTGCCTCCCTAGACTCAGCACCAGGCGATTCCCGAGACTCTCCAGCGCAGGGCACAAAGTCTAGCACGAGCCGCCGCCAGCCGCGCCGCCGTGGCCCGCTCTCCGCTCACCTCCGAGCAAATCCCCACGTCTCTAACCGGCGCGGCCATGATAGTCCCGGGAGTCGCGCGTATCGCGAGACTTAAGGCGCCCTTCACGGATCAGAAAAGGCGTGTTCGCGGCGGCGAATGGAGGTATTGCAATAAGGAGAAGAAAACCCGCCGTGGAAGATGCTAATCTTCCTGGACGCGGGAATAGGGTTGGGGAGTCAGGGAGTTCATATGGCAACGTGTTTCTGTGAGCCACACGCAGCACGCTCACTCTAATTTAAACCTCTCTGCGGGCACCAGGCCCGTAGTGCGCGTGCGCAGGGCTCGCAGCGCGCCTGCGCCACGTGGCGTGGTTGCTAGGAAACCGCGACAACTCAGGTCCTCGCCAGCTATGGCTAAGTTCGTTATTGCAGGTGAGTGTCCTGCTTCAGCCTGCGCCCCGCCTGTTAAGGGTCTTCGTATTCCTGCAAGGCCAGCCTCTGTGAACCACCATGCTCTCTTAGGCCTTTGTGCAAGGTGGTTATAGAAGGGGATGCTCGACATTGGGACGCACGGGGGACGTATCCCCTCCTCCGGGAGTTTCATTCTCTTGGGCACAGAGCTTGACAACAAGCGCTCTGCATATAGCGCAATGGACGCCACAAGGGAGCCGTGCACGGGTCTCGGAGAATGGAGCCCTGACCTGGGAGGGGGTGGACACAGGGAACTCGCTGGGAGGGCTACTGGAGCTGAGAGGGGAGGTTTGAACCGGAGAGGCTGCTCCAGATAAGGTCACGAGGCTAGTCACGGAGGAAGGATTAGATATGGGGGGTGGGATGGGAATGACAGGAGCCGGGCCAGAACCGGAGCGGAGCCAGGTCCTCGTGCCAGGGCCTCGTGCCTCTCGTGTCCGAGAAACGGTGTTTGAACTTGTCTTCAGAGCAACGAGGAGTCGCTGAAACATTTTAGAAAGGAAACCTGAAAGACGGTGGCACACAGTGAGACTCAACACCCGTTAAGGCCAAGAGATTTAATGGGTCGAACGTGGTGGGCTACAGGACCTGAGGGTCAGGCTGTAGCGCTGAAGCAAGGGCACGCCAGCCTTTATGGGGGTTTAGGGCGACCTATCAGTCGATTATTGGTTGGCTGACAGAGCTCCATCCAGGTTGGTGGATTTTCCACGGGCGCGGGAAAAGGTGAGCCGGACTGTAGAAGAAGAATCCGGAAGGTGCCGTTTCAGACGCCCCCTTTGTTTGCCGGGTCGCCATTTTAGGCGGGGGCTGGGTTTGGGCCCCTTTCCAGGAAAAAGGAGGGGATAATGGTTTGCTAGTGCCTGGTGGTGGCCCTTCAAAATCGCTGGGGGATTCTATTGCAACCATTCACTGTACCTGCCTCCTCCCCTTTTCAGCCAGTTCCTTAAAAGTAGCCTGCTCACCCATCCCCTTCTTCCTTTACTCCAGCTGGCTTCTACTCCTGCCTCCTTACAGAAGCTTCCCCACCAGAGGCACCGACGACTTTTCTAGAAGCTGTTTGGTTCTTGTCATATTTGACCTCTTTGATACATTGACACAATTGACATTCACCGTTTACCTAAAAAGCTATTTCCTTTGCTTCTTTAATCATTCAGAAGAGTTTTTTTGTTTTGTTTTGTTTTTAGCACTGACTAACTGTACTCCAGGAAGACAGTAGAAAAGAAACTTACAGAAAATGTGTGACGGGGCAGGGCAGGATTCCATAGGAACTGTGACGAGGACCTTCCTTGGTCAGTTATGGGCTTCCCAGAGGGAGATATTCTAGGGAGATACCTGAAAGATGAGAAAGAGTTTACGACAGAGAAGAGGTAAGAAGGAGAGCATTTAGGCCTGGGTAACAGGGAATGGATTTAGAGTGAGGAGAACTGGTTTGGTGATAGCTGAGAATATAAAACAAGCAGAAATTGAAGTAAGTTTCATAGGATTGGAGCAAATCGTCCAAGGAAAAGTGTCAAGATGAGGGCAGAGATAGAAAATGTAGACTCCTGTAAGCCATGCTCAGTGGTTTAGACCTTATCCAAAGTACACAGGAGGCTTTTGGAAGAGGAGAGCAGCACCAAATTTGCCTTCTAGCTGAGTGCTGTGGCTGTGGTGTGGAAGAGGAAGACTGGATGCCAGGAGACCAGTGAGGAGACTGGCACTGTGGTCCAGGAAGGAGTTGATGGTGGCCTGGTCCAGAGTGGTGAACAATGGAGATGGAGAGGAATGGATTGGAGAGATATTCGGGAGGCAGAATCTATAATACCACATGCCTAATTGAGTGGAGGACGGTGGGGGAAACAGAAGAAGGAGTTTAAAATTACTCCCAAGCAGTGGATTAGGAGTCACTGAAAAAATAATAATAATAATAAGCAGAAAAGTAGGCCTAATCCTCTGGATACTCTTAATACTCTTAGATACCTGGGGGATGGATGTGAGACATAGGAGATGAAGCTTTGGTAGGAGAGTGGTGGCAGAATCCAGCATAGACCTGCTGAGCACCTGGGAAACATTTAGAAAGAGACAGATGGAGGCAGATGTCTGGGTGCAGAGAGCGGTCCAAGCCAGACAGCCAGATTGCTGCTTGAACCCTAGGGAGTGGAGGAGACTGGCCTGGGAAGCAGATGGTGTGTGAAGGTAAGATGCCTATAAGAAGGATGCCTTTCAATGGGCTAATACCTAGGGGGTATAGAAGGGAATGACAGAGAAGTAGGAGGAGAACCTGGAGGATGTCCCAGAGTGGTGGGTTTTCCCAAAGGGTGTGAGGAGGCAGTAGCAAGAAAAGGACCAAAAAGTGTCCATCGGAAGTAGTGGTGCAGAGGTCCTTAGTGACCTCCTAGAGGATTGTGGTAGAAGCACTGCAGTGGGATGAGAATTAAGGGAGTGAAGAATGGGGAATAGAAAGTGTAGAGACTCTTCCAAGAGGTTGTTCTATAAAGGGACTCGTGAGAGACATGGGCTCTTTATTTTTAGGACAGGAAAAGCATAAGTACAATGAATGTATTTACATAGGATGGAAAGGGACATCTAGAAAGAGAGGATTCTAGAAAGAGGTTAATTCTTTAGGCAAGATCCCTGAGGAGGCAGGCAGGAGAGGGTGGGCTTCTGAGCGTGAGTGATGAGTTAGACTTGACAGGAGAAAGGAGGACAGGATACATCCAAATGCAGATGGGCTCATGGGGTGATGGGAGGAGGTTGGGGGTGTTCCTGTGGTTTGGTTTGGTTTGGTTTGGTTTCTATAAAGTAGAAAACAGATTATCTGTTGTCTTCTGATCATTTAGAAAAGTGTTGAGCAGAGAGAAGGGATTTGGAGGAGGAGGGCAGAGTTTGGATAGTCACTGTGGGGAATAGAAGGGCCAGCCACAGCTGGTGCCCTTGACTTTGTGGTGATGCCCTCTGCTTGGTTCCACCATGTTTCCCTGGTGTACCCAGTAGGTAGGACCCAGGCACAGAAAAGGCAGGTAACTGGGTTCATCCAGGGTGAGAGGCATGTGCTGGGCTGATTTCCCAAAAGACAGTGAGATAAGATCATTTAAGACATGAACTGTAGTGTGGTTTGAAGGAATAAGCCGTGGATTTGAATTAGATGGCAGGACTCAAGGGGTTGATGACAGGAGTTCCCTTGAGGCTGACGACCTGGCTCCTGGGAGTTGCTAAGGAAGATGCTGCAGAGACAGCTCTGCCTTGAACTTGTTCCCTGCTCTATCAGACGCTCAATCCCATTTTCTGGAGGTGGCTTTAATATCCTGGGTACAGTGACTATATAATGGTGTCTAAAACCCTTACAAGGCTTCTGCACGTCAGACTACTCTCTGATCATACCCACATAGCTGCACGGCAGACACCTCTAACTGTACTTGTCTAAGTTAAACTTCTCTTCCACACTTCTCTCTAGCAAGGTCAGGGCCATCCACCCAAACCAGAAAATGTAAGTCATCCTAGGCTACTCTCTCTCCTTCCTCCAAAATCCCCATGCATAGCAAATCCAGAAGTGATATTACCACTACTCATTACTTGACTACCTTTTAGTGACTATTAATGAGAATCATTGTTAGTAGTTCATGCTTAGTTAGTAGTAGTTGACTTACTTCTACTAGGGACTGGGAAAAATAGAAACACTATCGAGATTGGTAATTAGAAACTCATCTTACAAGTACTCAAGTGTCAGTGGTACATGAACACCCACCCATGGAAGCATTCTAAGGCAAGGAAAATATTCAATATTTTTTTCCTTTCCATATTACTTAAGATTCTGACCTCCTTTGAAATGTACTTTATTTTTTTGATTTAATAAAAATTAGAAGTTTATGCTGTGGCAGTTTTTAACTTTATGTTATGAAATTATATCATAACTATGATTAGTTCTGATATAGCATGGCAAATACTTAGAACTGCATAATAATTTCTGCATGATGAGAGGATATTGCTAATTTGAACTCTTTTAGGTAGAGCAGATTGTCCATACTATGCTAAAGCAGAACTTCTGGCAGACTATTTACAGAAGAATCTTCCTGATTTTCGGATACATAAAATTACACAACATCCTGAAGTTTGGGAGGTAAGAAGCCTTTATAGTTTGTTAAACTCACACATACACAAAAATACATTTTAATTTGGTTAAGTCTTAGCCAGTGCCTCAGAATGCTTCCAGGGATGGGTGTTCACATACCACTGACACTTGAGTACTAGTAAGATGAGTCCCTACTTACCAGTCTCAACACAGTGTCTCTACTTTTCCTAGTCCCTAGTGAAACAAATGAGAGCCTAACCAATGAGTAGAATAAATTTGGCTGCAGCCTCCAAGATTCCACATAGCTTATATTGCACCTGTTAACTTTCATTGCCTAGCATGTTGATTTCTAATGACCTGAGGGACTTGTTTATTTGAAATACCTATCTTTGGAACAGTGTTTCCCCAGAAACAGATTCTGAGATGGAGATCTTGGTGAAGGGCTTTCTTGGGAAGTGTTCTTGGGAGCAGTGTCCCGAGGAGTGAGGTTGATAGGATTGGGTGAAGAAGAAGCTGCAGCAGGGCTCAGCCATCCTGCAGAGAGCTCTCTGTGGATGGCCCTGCAGCAGTGTTACAGTGAGGCCCAGAACCTGAGACTTTGCACTCCCACCTGAGCTAGGCCCTGATGCGGCTGCCCCAGGAAGGGACTTTCCTTAGGCAAAGCCATTCTCTGTGGCTGGAGTCAATTTGCAGAGAGAGGATTGAGCCAGTCCTGAGTCACAGCAGTCAGTGATGCACCTCGTGGCTTCGGGACAAGGGCCTCTGTTGTGGGTGTGATGGGGACTGCACGTGACAGCACTTGTCATCAGCCACCCCTGAGCCCACGAGGAATTCACACTGCCGTGGGGCAGCTCCTCCAGGATTCTGGGTGGTGTCTTTCTAGAGGAAAGAGGGGCAAGCATCCATGCTCTGCTGAGTGTCCCCCACTTGAATTGCAGAAGAGTGACTGATTCTGACATGTACTCCCTTGTCTAACTTCATGAACAAGTCTTGACTCAGCACCCTCAGGAGCCAGGCCACATGCACCCTCCCAGCTCTTGCTGGGGTGTCCCATCTCTGCATGGTGCTGAAGGGCCTTTGTGGTGAGTCCTTCCCTCCCCAAGCTTGCGCTTCCCAGGTCAGGCTGTACTGTGACTGGAGGGCCATGATGGCCTCCTCACCTCATAGCATTGGTTGCTTTAAGTGGGATAAATGCGGGGAGATGGTCGATACCAGCAGGAGAAATTGTCTCCAAGATTTTACTGTGCAGTAGCCTCAGTCATGTGCTTCCAACAGCATGGCTCAAGGCTGCTGCTGTGTCTTGACCATGAGAATGCTACTTTGTCCCCGTGTGGATCTTGGCATTGAAAGACCTGGTCCACACAAACCAGATAATAACAATTTAGACTTTTCAGATAAATATTATTAGAAATCCCCAGGTAACTTTTAGTTCATTAAGTCAGCCTGAACTATATAAACCACACCCACAGATTTGAAAATCAGTATAAAAATGTATATGGTCTTAAGACTGAAAATATCTCTTATATATGAAGAATAAGGGCAAAATAAGTTGAATGTTTTTTAAAAATCAGATGAATTGGAAATGTGGCCTCTCTTTAAGCTAAACACTTGCATTCCAAGTCTTCTCAGCAAAAAGAACATTTAGTACCTTTATTTGGTCAATGAATTTGAAGAATATTCTGTATTTGATTCTTTGCTACTTTATCAATAATAACGTTACATAATCAATTTCTTACTTATTTGTTACTAACTCATCACTATTTTCTGTATTTAAATTTTATTGTTTAAAGATAACTGAATGGATGTAGTGATGCTAAAGAAAACTTGGTATCTTCATGTTTGAGTTATGAAATATTAAACTGAGTTCTCAGGCATTTTCAACACATGGTTTCCTTTGAATGTCATTCAACAGGAGTGGCTAAAGGACCTGTGTAAGCAGAATAGGTGGAACCATGAGAAGTCCCCCATCATCTGGAGAGAGCTGCTGGACCGCGGTGGGAAGGGCTTGCTTCTGGGAGGCTATAATGAATTCCTAGAGCATGCCCAGGTGTGCATGCACTTGAGTTCTCTGCTCAGACAATTGTCATTCTCTTACATTATTTTCACTTTCAAGTTTCTTGCTTTTACTTTTTTTTTTTTATAGAAGCAGGGTCTCACTCTATCACCCAGACTGGAGAGCTGTGACACAGTCATAGCTCACTGCAACTTCAAACTCCTGAGCTCAATCGGTTCTCTCTCTTGAGCCTCCCGAGTACCTGGGACTACAGGTACATGCCACCATGCTTGGCTATTTTTTTTGTGTGTGGAGATGGTCGTCCAGGCTGGTCTTGAACTCCTGGAAACAAGCGATTCTCCTTCTTCAGCCTTCCAAGTAGCTGGGACTACAGGTGCACACCACCATACCTGGCTAGTTTGTTTTTTATTAGAGACCAGTTCTCACTATGTTGCCCAGGCTGGTCACCAACTCCTGAGATCGAGTGATCCTCCTGCCTCCACCTCCCAAAGTGCTAGGATTATAAACATGAGCCACTGCGCCCAGCCTTGTATTATTTCCATCATAGCCATCATCAGCTAATTATCTGTTCTCTGGTGTTGACTTTCTCTTTCCTGGGCCTAGCTATATTATGGTGTCACCTCTAGCATGACGACCCAGCTGATGATGCTGATTGCTCAAGAGAACCTGGGGGCAAACATAGAAAAAAAGCAGGAGGAGGAGGTGCTGAAGGGTCTTATCAGCCCGCTGCAGGTCTGGATCACCAGGTGGGACCATCACACCCAGGCTTCTTGAGATTGGCTGTTTATGTTTAGGAAGAACAGGGGGATGGGATTGACTTCGTGATGGAAGAATACCTGAATGTCAGGGCCTAAGATGTGTGTGAGTATATACTTGTATGTATAGGCACATGTATATACATGTGTATATTATGAATATATATATATATATACATATGTATGTATATGTGTGTGTGTGTGTATCTATATCCCCTCCAATATAACCCATGAGTGAGCTTTAGGTTTTATACAACACACACATACACACACCTACCCCTAAAGCAACTCCATAGTAGTGCTGCTTTGCACAGTCACTCTCTCTGGCTGTTGTTCTCTCCCTCTTCCCACTGCTAGAGCTTTCCTTGGCTCCTCTCCATGCACCTGCTCCCTCCCAGGACCTGCCCTCACCTTGTTCCTCCCACTTCTCTCCTTCCTTTGGGCTCCCAGGGGCCTTGCCTTCTTTGTTGTCTTCTATCTCTGCAGCCTTTCTTGCTCTCCCATCCCCTGCCCTTCCTTATCCCTTAGTCTGTTTCACACTGTCCTCACTACACATGTGTGTATCCTAATAGGTACATTCATTTTGAAAAGTATTAATTATTATAAGAGATTTCAAATGCAGAAAAGAATTGAGAGTGATATCATAAACTTTTATCCATGACCCTGTCACCTGATTTACTGATTTACATCTTCCCTATTTTTTACAGGATTAAAAGGGTACAGAAACTGTTGAAACCCCCACTGTACCCCTTCCAAAGCCACTGAACACCAGAAATGCCCAGATACACCTCTGAATTCCTCACGGGGTCATCACAGCTCACAGCTGGAAGTCACAGCTGCAGAGTGCCCAAGCCCTTGCATAACTGTGGTACAGACACGCCATGCATGGCCTGTGTGCAGCCTAGCTGTCTTTGTAAAGATGTTTTTTTGTAAAAATTTGGAAAAGATGGTCCTTTCCAGAAACTGTCATTACTGGGTAGATAAGAGTATTTTTTTTTTTGGTAATGAATTCTGATTAACTGAAACTTGTCTTTATCTTTTTGAGAGGAAACGTAAACATGTAACTAGAGTAATATGATCTAGATCTTTGAAATTTTGCCTTTAGCATATGGGGAATTCTGTTTTACTTGAAAAACCTAACAACTGTTACATGTCTTATTTTGGATTGTTTTCAGATGACCAGAGCAGGGATGAATAGTGAGAATTTTTTTTGTTCCACTTTTTATTTCTAGCCTTAAGATGGCAATGCAGCCATGTGCGTGCTTATTTAAAATGCTAAGTCGCCCTGTCAATGCCCTGCAGAAGTGTTCCTTATGAGTCGAGGCTTGGGGGAGCTGACCATTCATGTCTGGCCTTGCGTTTTTCCCAGCGCATCTACCACTGCCTGCCGCAGCCTCATTCCCCTCCTGGTCAGTGGGGAGGTGTTTGGGGCACACTCCGAGCTCAGCCTGGTTCTCTTTGATGATGAGGACACAGAGGAGGACCTGCAGGACCTGGCGACAGAGATCTGTTACCTGGCGTCGCAAGTGCTGCGTAGTGTGTCTGTGTGCACACGAGCGCAGGAGGCCTTCCGCGGGGCACACGTAGTGGTGGTGCTGGAGCCCTGCGCATTGCGCGATGCCCCCAGCCTAGAGGCCCGCCTCCACCAGGAGCTGCTGCGATGCCGGCGTGACGGGCGCCTGCTGGAGCGCAATGCGAGTTCCTCCGTACGGGTGGTCGTGGCGGGGAAGAGCTTCGTGAACCTCCGGGTGCTGCTGCTGACAACGTTTGCACCGAGACTGGTTCGCAGCATCGTGGCTGTGGCGCTGGGTGTGGAAGGGCAGGTCAAGGCTGCCCTCGCCAGGCGGCTGAGGACAACACCCGCCCGTGAGTGCAGCACTCTGTTGGGTTTTGACAGCTGGATTTCAGAGCAGCCAGAGAACACGGGGTACTGGTGTAGGCTGATGTCCTTTTTAGTAACAATCATGCGCAGCTGAGCAGGGAGGTAGGGACGGGAGAGGCTTCTCAAATCCTCCTCCCCAAGAACTCAGAGGTTGAGAGAGAGAGGAGCTTCGGGCTCCTGGGCTTAGGCAGTCCTTCCGCTTCAGCCTCCTGAGTAGCTGAGACTATAGGCGTGGCCACTGGACTCAGCTATTTTTTTGATTTTTTGTAAAGAAGAGGTCTAGCTATGTTGCCTAAGCTGGTCTCAAACTCCTGGGCTCAAGTAGTCCTCCCATCTGGGCCTCCCAAAGTGCTAAGATTGCAGGTGTGAGCCACCTATCCAGCCAGACATGCATTTTTAAGAGTAATTTGGTGGTAGGGGCCTGCAGAGAGTTGGGACTGGTGATTGGTTGGGAATGAAATCACGAGCTGAGATTGTCTTCCTGCACCAAGTCAGTGTCTGGGTGGGGATCAGGCATCACTGATCCAGGTGGCATCAGATGGTCTACCAGAATGCAGAGTCTGAAAAACATCTCCAATACCAGTTTAGGTTTGTGAGATGTGTAGGAGCAATCAGGGAAGTTACAGATCTTGTGAACAGTGGATGCAAGAGGGGAAGCCTGGTGATTGACACTGCTCAGACCCTTGGCCAATTCTACTTGTGCATGCCATCAAGGAAGTTGGCATGACCCACAGGCCACAGTTCTTCAAGAGAAAAGCAAGTTGGTTGATCTTGCAGGCAGCCCTGGGGACTAGGACATGGAGAGAGCAAAGGTCAAGGAGAAAAAATAAGTATAACAAACATCTAGAATTTAGGTCTTCACTAAATTCAGGCCATATTACATTCCTGACCTGTGGACCTTTATTATTTTACAAGGCAATTTTGCCTTCTAGGGTTATTCTGAGTGTCTGCAATAGAAGTATAAAGCAGATACAAAGAACTTCTTGTTCTGTGATTTGGCCACTGTGCAGACAATTTTTGACTGACTTTGTCCATTATTATAAAAATTAATAAACAAGTATTTGATATGCCAAGATCTATTTATTTAAGACTCAGAAGCAAGTGAAGTAATAAAGTGAGGACAAACACCAGTGATATAATTTTCAGTAACAGTTTTTTCCAGGTAACATTTCATTATTCCTTGAATTTACTCATAAACCCACACTTCCCAGAGTATTTGTTGTTAGGGATTGCCAAACCCCAATAGTTAGAGAGATGATTACATGTTTTGTACAGTTTTAAGAAGCATAAACCTAGATTTTTTTTTTAAGGTGACCCAGATCTTTTATTTATTTATTTATTTATTCTTTCTTTCTTTCTTTCTTTATTTAAGTTGGAATCTCACAGTGTCGCCCAGGCTAGAGTGCAGTGGCACACTCATGGTCACCGCAGTGTCAACCTGCTGGGCTCCGGCAATCCTTCCACCTTGGCCTTCCAAGTAGCTGGAACTGCAGGCATGTGCTGCTCCACCTGGCTAAGTTTTGATTACTGTAGAGACGAGGTCTTGCCCAGTTGCCCAGGCTGATCTCAAACCCGCAGACTCAGGCAATCCACTCGCCTCGGTCTCCCAAAGTGCTGGGATTACAGGCTGAGCCACCAAACCCGACCAGATTTTATTTTTTGAAACTTGTCTTACTCTGTCACCCAGGCAGAACTGCAGTAGCACAATCATGGCTCACTGCAACCTCAAGCTCCTGGCCTAAAGCAGTCCTTCATCTTCCCAAAGTGCTGGGATTACAGGTGTGAGCCACCTCGCCCAACCACTTAGATTCATTTTATAGCAAAAGATCAATCCTAAAACACATACACACACACACACACACACACACACACACACACACACACACACACACAGGCTTCAGGTAATTTTTTATAGTAATGTACATTTTTATGATTATTTTTTATTTCTGTTCTTCACAGATATTAAAGATGTGATAATTTGGGGTAATATCAGTGGAAATAACTATGTTGATTTGAGAAAAACAAAGGTTTACAGATACGATAGTGCCATTTGGGGACCACTTCGATATCCACGCCCCGTTTTAGACGTGATTTTTGACAGGTACAATATATTTTTAAGTCAAGTATCAATAATGTTAATTAAGTGTATAATGGTTGTTACAATCTTTTAAATCTTTGTACAAAAACAACTTGCATTGTCCAAACCTGTATTTGTGCTCTCTGTTGAAGAAACAAAAAATTCCACAGAATATCAACTAGTTAATCCTCACCTCCAATTTATTTGATTTTGAAATTATGAATTTTTATACTTCAGATTACCCAATAGCTCATACATTGCTCTAAAGTTATCTCTAAAGCAGGCATCTGTAGGGAGTCTTATTTTGTGTAAAGACAAGGGTGTGTATGCAAGTTGAAATTAGTGGAAACATTTTTGAGGAAGAGGAATTAAGATGATGAGTAGGCCCAGGTCGTGTAGGGTGCTCTGTCCCAGGAGAGGCAGAGCACTGTCCCGGTACCAAGCTAGCCTGAAATTAATTCACCAGCCATGGTTTAGCTGCGTGACTCTAGAGAAATTACTTAGCCTCTCTGTGCCCTCATGTTTTCATCTGCCAAGGGGAAACAGCCTTGTGAGGAGGATGAAATGGATTCCTCTGGGTGAAGGCCTGGGAGTGCGCCGGCCTCAGTGGACACCAGTGTGGTGCAAGGGCAGGGGAGGAGCAGGCGGGGTGCCTTCAAAGCCTGTTTCCGCACCCCATGGCACTTTCCCAGCTACAACAACAGCTTCCTCATCCTTCACTTCAGTTCTTCCTCAGGCCACAGCAGCTCCATCCAGCATGGGACTACTGTCAGGCTCACCTCCCATGTGCACGACTCCAGGCCAGGGTCTTAGAGTAGTGTTGCACAGGGCAGGCCAGATGCTCTCAGCCCTAGTTCTAGTCCAGCTGGATGGTCCCTGAGTTTAGACTCTGGATCACAGGGACATCATCATCTTCCTAATTCCTGCATCCCAAACTCAGAAATCCGAGATGCCCCCCAAACCCAAAACTTTGAGTGCCAGCACGACACATGTGGAAATTCCCACACCTGACTCTCTTGCTTCCGAAGGCCAAGCATACAAGCTGTTTCATGCACAAGATTATTACAAATATTACACAAAATGACATTCAGACTCTATGTGTAAGGTGTATGTGAAACGTGGATGAATTTTACTTTGGACCCGAGTTCCATCCCCAGGATATCTCATTGTGTGTATGCAGGTATCCCAAAATCCAAAATCCTAAAAAGTCAGAAGCATTTCTGGCCCTGAGCATTTGAGATGAGGGATACCCAACTTGTAATTCAATGTTTTATGAACTTATTTTGTTTAAAATGAAGGCTACCACTGGTTCCAAGACAGTATCTGCATAGAACAAGTTATTTGTATTGAGGTAATTGCTACTGACATCTTTGGCCACTTTTCTGTGTTCCAGATTTACATGAGCATTATTTTAGTTTTGCATCTTGGGACATTTCATTTCACCATGGGCTTCTTGCGTGATTGGAGACTTTGAAGAAGGGCTCATGAAGCCATGTTTCTGTTTGACTGGGATGAGACTCCTTATCCCTTGTTCCATCAGCCCAGGGAATGTCTTTTTTCATTTCCTTTCCTCTCTCCCTTGTAAGGTTGGGTTTTTTCTCTCCTTACAGCGAGTGGCTAAACAGGGAATTTGTAGCAACTCTTAAAAACTTGACTACTACAGGCAGACAATTTGGAGGCATTTTGGCTGCACACAGTATAGCCACAACGTTGAAGTACTGGTACCATGGCTCGCCACCTGGGGAGATCATGTCTCTGGGAGTGTTGAGTGAAGGTAAGCCTGGGTTTTCTCATCTCATGATATTTGAACCTCCATAGATGCCTGTGCCCCTCATCCTCTGTCCCACCTGTCTCACTGTCATTATCATCTGTATGCTATCTGGACTTTCACAGTTCCATAATCGTCCATGAACTCATTCAGAAATTCAAAAAGTCATTCATTCCTTCAGAACTTCAGCAGTGTTTTGTGTGAGTGCCCTGGGAACACACACAGGAAATGGACCTGGCCTCAGCCTTCAGGACACAGTGGTCTTGTGAGATTCCTTGCTGTGCTAGCCAAGAAAGGATCATAACACCATGTCAGGCAGGGGCAGGAGGCATCAAGGCAGCTTATAAAGAAGATGGCCTGCCAGGACACCCAGATGTGCACAGCGCTACCCTGGAGATGCTGTGGGGGCATGCAGGTGCAGAATACAGGACTCAGAGGCTACAGGGCACCAGGTGGCACAGGGTTGTGGGTAGGTTGCCTCCATCCACAAATGTTTTCTACACATTTATAGCCTCCGTACTTCAGTCTACTGAGTGCCATCCAGAAGATGTTCGCCCTTTTACAAGAGGGGAGGGAACAGCTGATGTTGTGTCTCTGTCGGTTCTGTCTCTGGCATCTCTTCCCTTCATGTTTTAGTTTCCCTTAGTGAGCCTCTTCCCTCCCAGGGCTCCAACCCAGGCTTTTGCCTAGCTCCAACCTGTGAGGCGCTGCCACCTGAAAGCCAATTGTCACTTCTGTCCCACATCCTCTAGGCTTGCATGCTGCCCCTCCCAATCTGACCCACTCTTGCATCTTTATATCCCCACTGTCTCAGTGACTGTGCTGAGGTTGAGGAGACCTTCCAGAACCCCCAAGTCAGAATCCATCTGCCTCCCCCATACTTGAAGAGCATTTGTCCACTGTGTTCCTCTGTCTGGAGTGTACTGGAGTCTGCCCTCTTTGACAGAGTGATTAGTTGCTTGTGTCCCCTTCATTAGAGTGGTATACCCTGAGGCAGGGTCTTTGTCTGGGTTGTCTTTCTGTACCTTCTTAGAAGCCGCATTTACACATGTGAAACATGTTCACTTGAGGTTGAAGGGCATGAACATTGTCAGAATGTGAATTCCAACCTGTGTATTATCTTTTTAGGGAAGTGGGCATTTTAAACCTTATCTTCATTTGTAGAAAGAAAGTTTAATATCTGTAGACATTTTATTCAAAAATAAAATAAGCCAAGTGTAGTCCTAGCTACTCAGGAGGCTGGAGTTGAAGGGTCGCCTGAGCCCAGGAGGTTGAGCCATAATCCCTGCAGTGAGCCATAATCATGCCACTGCATTCCTGCTTGGGTGACAGAGTGAGACCCTGACTCAAAAAAAAATTAAATTAAATTAAATTAGAAAATAAACATTGCAATACTGGAGGAGGGGTCAGGTGATCATGGGCTCCCTAAAACGTACCTGAGAGGTGAACCCTCACACACTGTCTGCCCATGAGGCAGGCTCTTTACTGATAAAACAAACAGAATGACGGGAGAACTAAGGAGCCCTCTGAGGAGCAACTCATCTTAGTTTCTTGACTGTCCTCAATGTTTTTCCCTGGTGACAACATTATTGATGTCTAGAATGGCAGGAGTAATTCCGTTAAGTGATTGAGGCACCAAGAGGGAGGCAGTTCTGTCTGAGTGGTACTCAGTAATATCTTCAGTCTTATTATTTTGAGCACATCCAGATGGGGATCTGGGGTTACAGAGAAATAACCGAATTTTTTGTTTCTCATCCTTCCCCTGCCTTCTGTTTCCTCCCTCATACCTGGCCATGTGACTGCCATAATAGGCAAGAGAGTGGAAGGTCAAAGTGAACCACTGATGACTCTTGGACTGCACAAAGGGTCAAGGAAAAGATGTGGGGACAGGAGGAATAGATGAGGCTTGAAAGAAAAGGGCTGCATTACCCCTGTATGAGATGGGGGTGTGGACGGGAGGGTTGTCCAAACGTGGGTGGGTGCTCAATCAACACTTCCAATAGGTGTCTCAGCCCTCTCTGGAGAGGAACCCCCAGAAACATTATCCCATCGTTGTTATTAGAAGCTGAGTCTCATGGTCTGCCCTTCTCTACAGTGCTTGGCAGGAAGGCCTTCCCTCTCAGAGTTCTCTGACCTACTCTGCCTTGTTTCCCCACTGCAGGCCAGTTTGGGATTCCTACAGAGATTGTCTTTTCTATGCCTGTGAAATTTGAGAATGGAACATGGGTGGTTCTGACAGACCTCGAAGATGTTGAAATAAGTGAAAAGATAATGACCAGAATAACAAATGACCTGATTGAGGTAATGTCAGAGTAGACAAGGGAAGAGGCACAGGGACTTTGATAATGGCCTTAACTGGTTCTCCTAGACAACAAATATATTGGTTTTCTGTGGGTTCCATTTTTGTTCCTAAAAACAATGAGGCAAGAAAATTTTGAAGAAATCAGCAGAAGAATAGAGCCCATTTAGTTATATAATTTCTGGCATATAAAAAATATTTGTTGGCTACTTTTAAATCAGGAGTCAAAGGGTTTTTAAATCACAACATTTTTAGGTCAGAAATTGTGGTAATTTAATTTTCTGACGGTAAAATTTTCCAACAGGAGAAGCTTGTTGCACTTGGAGTAAAGATGAATTTTCAGCCATACCAATCAGGTAATCTCTTAGATGTGAGATCTTGTTGTGCTGCTATTAAAGGAGTATTAAAATATTTGTTATAAATGAATCACTATTAATATAAATAACTCCACATTTTATCATTTCTAACCTAAATTCAAGACAAAATAAATTGCTAATTCAGTGTGTCCCTTGAAATAAAACATCTCCTAAGAATGTCAAAGAAAACACATCTTAACACTCTGATTTTATAAATTTTGTGCATACCAGAATTATCAGTTCTCTACAAGTACCATCAGCAATTGCTACAAACTGGGTGACTTCGAATAAGAGAATATTGCAGTGTGAGGTGTTGCAGTGTGTGAGAATATTGCTCACAGCTCAGGAGGCCAGACCTATCTCAGGATGTCAGGAGGGCTCTGCCTCCTGGGAAGGCTCCAGGGAAGGAGGCTCTGTGCCTCCTCCAGTCTCCAGAGGCTATGCTTGGTTCTTGGATTGCAGCCATGTCACCCTGACCTCCACTTCCCCCCTCCCATCTGTCCTCTTTCTATGAGTGTCTGTGTCTCCAAGTCTCCTCTCTTTACTTGGATATCAACCAATGTGTGTAGGACCCACCTGAATCCAGTATGACCCCAGCTTAAATTGATTATGTCTGCTAAGACTGTTTCCCAGTAGGGTCATGTTCACAGATGCCTGGGTTAGGATTTCAGCATCTCTTTCTGGAAACACAATTCAACACACAACACTGTAAAAAATATTTTTTATTGATAAACTTTAATAAGCTTATTTTTCTTTTTGGCATTTTCTTTAATCATAAGCTCATAAGGAAGGCTACCTTCTTTGCCTTAAAAGAACTTCCATCTTAAATGTAGAAAAAGACATTCAGAAATAAATGCATTTATTTATGCACAGATCTCTAATCCAGTGCCCTCTGGAGTCCTGCCTTCCCTATTTCCAGGTGGGGACCCGCAACAGCCTGCACTGCCACTGGAAAGCTGGGGGCGCAGGCCAGGGGCACGAGAATCCAGTGAGCAGGTGGCTCCAACTCTGACTCTCAGGATGTAGGACCTTTTGCTGTGAGCTTCCTTCCAGAGTATGAGCTACAGAGCAGTGGCTCTAAAACACCTCCACTAGTGATTAGTCTACATTACTCATCTACACTTGCATGATAGAGAGTTTTGTGAAAAACAAGTTAATGCTAGTCAGGTAGGCTGGGCTTGGGGGCTCAGCCTGTAATCCCAGCACTTTGGGAAGCCAAGGTGAGTGGATTGCCTGAGCCTACAGGTTCGAGATCAACCCAGGCAACTTGGCGAGACCTTGTCTCTACAAAAAAAAAAAAATTAGCCGGCTAGTGCCCTCCTATAGTCCCGGCTATTGGAAGGCTGAGGCTGAAGGATCTCCAGAGCCTAGCAAGTCAATGCTGGGGTGGCTGTGAGTATGCTACTGTGCTCCAGAGTGAGACTCCAATTCAAAAAAACAAAAAACAAAAAAGCTGGTCAAGTATATATGTATCTGTTTGGTTCTGACTCTGTCACCTTCGAATTTTGCTCCCAAACCATTATCCCAGGGTGTTGACAACAGTCATAATGTGGCCACCCCCCATGCTTGGAGGTCTCTGAAAACAGAGCATGGTTGCTACTTGCAGTGTAGAGGTCTCTGGGGCAGATGATCCGAGTATGAGTTTTGTTTAATTCCCTTGTTAACTCAATATTTAATCTGACTTTTAGAAACTGAACTAGCCAAACAAGATCAAAAGATCTCCAAGATCTCCTTACCCATCACAGATGACAACCAGGAAAAGCAGCAAATCCCAGGTGGTAGGTACACGCACTAGAAAGAAATGGCTCTTTTTTCCAAAGGTTCCCACCAAATGTCAGAGAAGAAATGGAGTTTCCTACCAGCCGTGAAGTGCCCTCATCCTGTACTCACAGAGATCATGTTTAGAATCTGCTTAAATCTCTGGAGGACATGGTCAGATACTCACTGAGCCCTCCCTCTGGGGATGCAGATTCAACAGAGGAGTCATCTCAGGTGATCAGGCAGGACCAGAACCACAGTCCGGGTGGTAAAAAGCTGTATTCGGAAAATATTCAGCAGGGTGACTGGGCTGGATCCCAGGTGCAAAGGAATGGGACACCTGTGGTTTGGCTGAGGTTAGTCAGTCATGTGCCCAGTGGGTATGAGTGGCGGGATGACACATGAAGGAGATGGATTAGGTTTAGATGACTAACGTGGCTGGCCATGAGCCTGAGAGCCCCCTATGTGGCTTGGAAACTGTCCCCAGGAGCTGGTGAGCTCAACCCCAGCAGACTGACCCTCAAGGGGCTAGACAGGGTTCTGACATCTGGGTGGTAGTGCTCTTGCTGCCAGTGGCCCAGCAGGTGTTAAGCACCATGCAAGGAAGGAGCTGTGGCCTCCTATGGATAGGGCGACATGATTTTCCAGGAGTAGGGCAATGCAGTATGAGGTGTTGCAGTGTGTCATAACCTCTGGTGGATTGTAAAAAAGAGTAAGTGGTTAATGAAATCAATTTACTCACAAGCATTGTCCTCATTAATATAGAATAAAACTGATTTTTAAAAAGAGTAAGAAGACCCTATTTGTTTTCCAATAAACTAGGATAGGAGGGGAGGATGAAAAAGGTAAGTAGAAAGGTAGAAAAGGGTCAAGATTAGGTTGGAAAAGGGTATTATTGTAACTTTTCATTTCATTGATACATACACAAGTACACATGCTGGACTCTAATGTAAAATGTGTCTTCTGTCTATTGTGGTCAACACAATTTGAAAAATATTGATTTAAACTCTCTCCTGAGTCATTGGTTATATTCTAAACCCAATATGCTTTGTTTAATTCTAGTTTCAGGACATAAAGATAGCTTATATTCTGATATAGTCCAAGACGAAGAGAAGGACTTAGCTATGTTGGATGGTAAGTGCAGGGTCATGGACAGACTGTGATTCCCAACAGCTGTGGCTGGTGCATCCAGCCTTAAAGGATGATGCTGTGTTCAGGAGAGCACAGCCCAGCAACTGAAGTGATTTTTTATTGACTCCATTTATTTTCTTATGCTTTATAAGCACTTTGAATGGGGGATAAAAAGGTCAGCAAAATTTTTTTAATAAAACTGCACCCATGTCCTACTCACTATGAACTCTCCCCAATCCTCTAAGCTCAGCTCTGTCCCTATGTCTCTTCCTTCTCACTTTCGCTTTCTCCTCAGTTCTTCATTACAAAGCCTGACATAGCATGTGGCAAGACAGGCTCTTCCCCAGAAGACAGGACTGACAGAGCCACCTCATAATTCTCTTAACAGGGAAGAGCTGGGAGATTAATCTCCATGTATATGTGTATGCCTCATCACATATATGTGCACACATGTATATATATATGTACAAACACACACACACACATATATAAACAGTTGACCCTTGAACAACACGGATTTGAACAGCACAGGTCCACTTACACATGGCTTTTCTTCCATCTCTGCTACCCCTGAGATGGCAAGACCAGCCCCTCTACTCCTCCACCTACTCAACATGAAGATGATAAGGATGCAGATCTTGATGACGATCCACTTTCACTTAAAGAATAGTAAAGACATTTTCTCTTTCTTATGATTTTCTTTTTTTTCTTTTTTTTTTGAGTTGGAGTCTCACTCTGTCTCCTAGACTGGAGTGCAGTGGCCGCTCCCGGCCACCGCGACCTTGACCTGCCAGGCTCCGGTGATCCTTCCGCCTCAGCCTTCCAAGTTGCTGGAAATACAGGCACGCGCTACCACGCCCGGCTCATTTTGATTTATTGTAGAGATGGGGTCTCGCCAAGTTGCCCAGGCGGGTCTCGAACCCGCGGGCTCAGGCAATCCACTCACCTCAGCCTCCCAAAGGCGCGGGATTACAGGCTGAGCCACCGAGCCCAGCTTTTATGATTTTCTTAATGACATTTTCTTTTCTTTAGAATACAGTCTATACTACATAAAATCTACAAAATATGTGTTAATTGACTATGTTGTCAGCAAGGCTTCCAGGCAACAGTAGGCTATTGTTAGTAAAGTTTTGGGGAAGTCAAAAATTATGCACAGATTATTTGACTGTGTGGGGTTGGTCCCCCAGCCTGGTGCTGTCAAGTGTGTGTGTGTGTGTGTGTGTGTGTGTGAACACTTGCAGATATTTATGTAGAGAATTATAGATTTTCTAAATCTCCCTATACAAATCATATATCAAAAAATAATACTTCAGTCTGTCTCCACTTTGACCCCCTTCTCACTGGAACCTCTGTAGAAGGCTGGCAGCCCTGAGGAGTTACCTAGTAACCTGGGGCTCCAAGGGGAGGGGGTGGGAGGAGGTGGCACTGAGCCTTGTGCCTGGACAACAGAGCCAATCTCAGCCTGTCATGGGCTGAGATACCATGTGAAGGGGCCCAGCATCTGCAGCTCCTAGGAGGGCAGTGCATTCAAGGGCCTGGAGAGTGGAAGGAACAAGATAGAGAAATGAGAATAACTGCAGAACATGCACTTTAATACAGAAAACCATTATTTTACTTCTCTGTTTACTGCAGTGGATTTTTAAAATCAGATTCTCAAGCCTCTGAAAAGCCAGACCCGTGAGCCTGCAATGGTAGGTAGTACACAAAGCATCAACAAGTATCTTCCTGTTATGCAGTAGAGCCGGGTGGCAGAGGATAGGGCTTTCTCACGACCAAGCCCTAACAGGGAGAACATCATCTTTCCTTCACAATGAACAGGAAGTGGACACAACCAACCTGCATGTCCAGGCTTTCATGTGTACAGCTGAGCTGAAAACAGGACTGGTGTGGCTTCCCTATGACTGCCACCACAATGTTCACCCAAGACCTCACTCTTTCTCACAATTGTCCAGCTAAACGAACTCAGTTTCATGCATCTTTCACTCTGAAATACTCAGTGTGATGGGCCTTGGAACAGGGCTGATCATGGGGAGTGGGAATTGGAGGACAAGCATAGCCAAGAGACAAGGTGCTGCCGGCAGCCATATACAAGTTGGATGGGGAATGGGCGCAAGAGGCCAGTTGACTCATTGTGTGAACATGTCTGCCAGTAGCTCTGGCTTTGTCTCCAGTAGACTCCCCCCAACTCATGCTCTTTCACTGCCGCTAATCTGTAAATGCCAGAATCCGGGAAGCAAGGGAGGAGGGAGCTGAAGAAAAGCCAGTAAAACATAGCATAGGCCCTGATGTGTTTTTTAAATAGTTATGTTTTTTCATTTCTGTTCTTTTTACAGAGTTTGAAGGCAAATTGTGGAACCCTTACAGATCAAATCAGACCAAATATAAAATGTTTGGTAGTGCAATAAATATGCAAAGAATATATGTGAATGTCTGTGTTTAGGAAGGATAATTTGAAAGGTTTACTTCAGTCTCAGATGATACTATGCAGGCGTTTCAGTAACTGATGGCCCAGAAATCAGAGCTCAGCCACTCTGTCACCTGACCCTCTACTGTTTGCTTATTAATAATTATATTGTCTCAAGTATTTTGGTATCAATGGCTATTTTTTGAACTATGCTGAACAGAGTTTTCTGTCATTACCCCTTGCCCATAATATTCCTGGGAGAGCCTGCTCCTTCCACTGGCTGATCCCAGGACGTGGCCTCTGTGGCTACAATTGCTCAAGTGTCCTCGCCTCCATGGTCTCAGCTGACCAGGCCAAATATGTGCACCATAAACTAGGGGAGCCACTCCTATTTCCTCTCTCTCTCAAAAAATGTGCACAGAAGCAGTGGCTGAGTGAGCTGGTATCTGCATCGGGTTAATGGCAATGAAGGACCTGCCATGGGATCTACAGAACTGGCCATAACACCACCTTCACAAGACCCAGCTGTGGGCTACTTCTCCTTGGGTTTGTGTGGCATACAATTTGTGCAACACATCACCTCTTTAGCTTAGAGTGAATTGGCTTCTGCTTCTTGACACCAGATGCAGCTTTAATAAACTGAATTTTGAAAGAAAGTATAATTTTTCCTATATAATTGCATGGTTTAAGTAAAAAATCATCTTTTATTAAAGCAGTAGTAGTCAAACCAGTATGCTCAATTATTTTCCAGACCCTCACAAATGCCAGTTATGAATTTTTGAAGGCCTATGAGTCAGGTTAAAAACTGCTGATATCTTTGCTTTGTCTTTCTACTAGCTCTTAAGTGCAGATGATGTTCTGAAAACTCAGGGAATGTAAGGTCTCCTGCGTTGCCTCAGCACTGCCATAACAAATAGCTGATTTCAGTGCCATGGTGGCCTTTGCTTGTTCCCGTCAGCACTTGATGCTACTGTGAGGAGAGCACAGTGTCTGTGTCAAGAACATGGGCTTTGCGCCCTAATGTCACCCCTGCCGCTGCCTGTCCTTGTGGGGTCCTCAGCCATGGGAATATGACCACAGAGGACAGTGATTGGGTGAACATCAGGCGGTACTCTGCACAAGCGGCACACATTATGGCGGTGCTCTCAACAGGCAGGGCTCTCATGATAAAAGTGAGTGAGACTGGAAACCAAGATGCAGCCCCAGCAAGTCTTCCCCCACACACTCTCAAGTCAGTCACATGAGTCACTCCCTCCTGGGAGCAGGGGAGGATGCAGCCATGCATACACGTCACCTTTCCATGTCTTGGTCCTGCCCCGTAGACCTCCCAGAATGTCAAACCTAAGCTCTTCTCCACTCAGTGGACATCTGGGAAGGACTAGGGAGAGACCCACACAGTTTTCTCCCCTTTAGGAGCCCATTTAGCCCCTGCCCCAGCCGTCTTGCATGAATGAGGACAGCCATGTGTGTAGAGCACTGCAGGGTAGCCAGGTGTCCTAGAATTAACTTTATTCCCTATATACCACCATACATTTGTCCCAAATTAATATAAGTCTGGAATTACACTGGGGGGAAGAGTATTCATGTTTTCTGTTTATTTTTAAAATAATGATGGTGTCACTTCAAAGATATTTTTCAGGGAGATCCCCCCCCCCCCCCCCCCCCCCAGCAGATGCACTAGCTCTTACCACAGTGGCCTGTGGTATATAATGTGGCATATATATACTGGGACCTCTCAAGTCTGCTTTTCCATTAGAAGTAATTTTAATGTGAGGGTATTAAAAACAATGTATGTGTGAAAACTATCATGGTAAAAGATGGAGCAATATTCAGTAGGAAAATTAGAGTATGATTTGGAGAAAGACATTATATGAATAAAGCGATTACTTTGTGTGTCACTGGAACATGAGTTAGGTTTATATACATTCTGTGACTGTAACCAGCACTAGGTTGTCCTTCCCACAGCCCTGCCCCATCCTCTTGACTAACAGAATTCTGATTTTGTTGGGATGGGGGGATGCTAATGGGCCCAACACTACTGGTCCCAGTAGATATTGAGATACCTGATATAGCCCCATTTGCCAGAAATTGATTCAGGGGCAGGTATGTGGGCCAGTTTTGGACAACAATACATAAGAAGTCTGGACGTGTGAGAGAGGCACCAAGAGACAGATTGAGAGAGAGACACACAGAGAGAGACAGAGGGATTAAGAAAGACAGATGGAAAGAAACAGAGATTCAGAGAGACAGTTTCAGAGACACAGATTGAGAAAGAATAGTATGCAGGAAGAAAGCACTTTGCTCCCCCCACTTCCTTTCTGCTTAAAATGCTGTTCTCAGGACAGCATGAAGGTTGGGCAGCTGTTCTGTGGTCATGAGGAAAGAGACCAGCATGGGCAATAGCAGAGCAGAAGGGAAAGGCCTGTTACCTAAGCCTGAGGCTTCAGTGATCCTAATGAGCCTCTGACACAACCTTGGACCAACTCCAGAATTTCTGTCAAACAGTAAATAACTTTATTTCAAGTCTTGTTAATTGTGGTTTTTGTTGCTTATCAACAATGTCTATATATACTTGTTCACAGGTATGTAACTTAATAGGGAAATGTCTTTCAATATTTGTTTTAAGGGAATTAAGAAAAATATCCAGATAATTTAAACAACTGACTTTCCACCCAGCCAGGCTCAAAACCTGTGTTGACTCCTATCTTTTTTATATCGTCCCCTAATACCACCTAGTAAATGCCATCAGCCTCGCTCAGTCCTAGACCAGGGATTTTCAACATTAGTGTGAATCAGAATCACTCGTTAAAACAGATTGCTGGCCTCTTCTCCAGAGTTTATGATTCAGTAAGTCTGAGGTGGGGCCCAAGAATGTGCATTTGATGACCACTGCCCTAGACGGTGGCCATCACCCCTCGAGTCAGCCCCTCCCCAGCTCCCTACACCCCACATGCTTTAATCTGGATTTCACTTTCTGACTTTGACTTTATCCAAGCTTACCAGTAAACTGTTTAGCATTTCCTAAGGCCATCCAAACTGTCCTAGGAGTCTTGGGGTTGCTGTCTCCCTGCCTTTACACATATCATCTGCCCTGCCTGGAGTGTTCTCAAACCTCATTCCACTGAACCTCTTTAGGTCTGACACAGTGGAGTGTTCTTTCCTCTCTTAACCAAACCATTATGTATTTCTTTTTGTTTCAGGGAGAAAATAATTATGAGATTCTAAGAGAAAGAAATTGAATAAAGACTATTCCTCCCTCTACATCCTACCAGGGTACTTGTAAAATGTCATATGTAACTTCCATTTGCTTCTTTGCTGACCTTAAAATGAACATTTTTAACTCTCAGATGCTCCTGGGCCAAAGCTGAATGTTGCCCCATCTACAGTGGACACAGAAAAGTCACCCAAGTTTGCAGAGGAGTGTCTAGAAGCAAACTGTAGCCTCCCAATAGTGAGCAGCTATTCTGCCCCCTAATATTAACTTCTTGGGAGAAATTATGAGCCCACAGAGATATGTAATCAGAAGTCTCTCCATTGGTACTAAAAAGCATGATTCCTACACAAAGGGGCCATAGCAAGGGTTTTGTGGCATGTCCAGTCTCCCGCCTTCTCTGGGAAAGCAGCTACAAGCCCTAGGGTGTCTTGCTCAAGACCAACACACACTAGTCATACTCAACTAATGCCATTAAATCAAGCTTTCAGCACCCCCAATTATCACTATGTTTTCAACATTCCATGATGAGCTTGCAGATCGCATGTCAACTTGACCTAACAGTAGCATTTGACAAATGCCTTAATCCAATCAGGCCATTACAACAAAATACCATTGACTGATAGCTTATAAGCAACAAAAATTTCATGCTCAGGAAAAATAAGGGACACGGACAACCAGAAAGTAAGAAAGCAGGATTTATTGAGAGAAAAGTGCCCACAAGTGGGAGGGGACCCAAAGGGGTTGCCGATTTGAAACTGAAACCTGGGGCTTATTTAGCCCTAAGACTGAGCTGACTGGCTAGCACTAGCTGTGAGCTGATTAGTCATTTTTCTATCCCAGCAGTGAATACTTAAGCTCTAGTTTCAGAGGTTCTTAGGGAGTTTGTTTACCAATGCAATGTATCAGCCTGAGAGGCCTGCAGGAAATTTGCTACATTGTTACCTGAGGACTGGGCCTGTCTGTCTGCCTAGGCTTTCTTTAGCTATCTCCTGCCTCAACAGGTTGAGCTAAGAGTTATGAATGATATGGAGTGATGTGTTAAAGCTACTTCAGATAGGGTTGTCATGGAAGACCTCAGAAAAACCTGAAGGATGAAGGTGGGACAGTCATGAGATGAGTTGGAAGAAGCATTCCAAGGAAGGACAATAGCAAGTGCAAAGGCCCTGTGCACAGGGGGTCAGTGAGGAGACTAGTTAGCTTTTTTTTTTTTTGAGTTGGAATCTCACTCTGTCGCCCAGACTGGAGTGCAGTGGCACGCTACCGGCCACCGCAACCTCGACCTGCTGGGCTCCGGCCATCCTTTCGTCTCAGCCTTCCAAGTAGCTGGAACTACAGGCGCGTGCTACCACCTGGTTAATTTTTGATTTATTGTAGAGACGAGGTTTCACCAAGTTGCCCAGGCTAGTCTTGAACCCGCGGGCTCAGGTAACCCACTCGCCTCAGCCTCCCAAAGTGCTGGGATTATAGGCTGAGTCACCAATCCCGGTCAACTAGTTAGCTTTTAAATACAAAAAGAAACTAGCCCATATGTGTGTAAGAAAGGTATGGGATAGGTTTTAAGAAAGAGACAGTTCATGGAAGGTTTCATTCAGTCTTTTTGTAGGTAATTTGGATTCTGAAGCCACTGTAAGTGCCTTATAAAGAAAACTTGGGAGTCATGCAAGAACAGAGGCAAGGAGACCATTACAAGAGTCCATGTGAGGGGTGTCGACTTAGATGAGGTGGTAGCAGCAGGGATGGGGAGAAATGGAAAATCTAAGATGTATTCTGAAGGTAGTCTTCATGGGATTTGAATACATAA